CCACCACAGCCAGAACACCGACCTCCGTCCCCTGAAGACCGACCGGAAGAGCCATTACACTATCCAAGATATGGTCCGCCGGTGTCAGAACCACATCCTGATTACCGAGCTGAGCCACAACGGACCTACCACCGACCAGAACAGCACCCACCATCTCAAATTCAGCCGAGTGCACCACCTCACCACATAGATTATCAGCAGCCCCGGGAGCATGATCGTCATCCGCCACATCCCACATTCCGGCCACAAGTGCCACCTCACGACGAACGTCGACCGGAACACAGACCACAGCCAGAACTTATTCTCGAACACCGTCCTGAATACAGGCCAACACCTGTCGAAGAAGAGCGCCTGAGTCCAGAACCTCAAATTCCTCATGATCCTCGATTGCACCCAGAATATCAACCAGGTTGGCCAGACCATAGAGCGGTTCCAGCACCGACGCAGCCATCACTACCAGATCCTAGACTTGTCGTTCCAGGAAGACCGGAGCATCCAGACTACATTGCCAGACCGGAATATCGCCCAGAAACAACACAAACAACCATAACCGTATCAACGGTTACACACGAGCGTTTTGAGCAGCCGACTCTCCCGACGCACGAGGTGACCATTGAAATACCGAACAATTACCGGATCTGAGGCGTTTTTGAAAAAACAGTTGATAAAATTACGGATTACAAAATTATGGAAAAAACTAGGATGGTGACGGTGAATTTGCTCGGTATTATGTTTGTTGCTGAGCATTGCGTTCGGATGGCTTTTTGGGGAAGATTGGCTTGTGGCCAACGTCTTAAAATTAGGAAATTGTAGTATTTCTTGATATGAAAACTATAGCATAATCGATTTCTAGGAAGCAATCAGTGATACTACCTCATCTTTACTTTCCTGTTTTTTGTATCAGTTGGATTTTTTCCCCTTTGCTCTTTTTCTACCCGTATCACATTTTATATTTTTAAGGCAATTTCGACATTTCTTTAGCTAAATTTTGTGCTTTTTTGATTAAAAATTGC